ACACTGGATTGTCTTCATGTTTGGAACTATGGTGTATATACAGACACCGCAGACACCAGTCGGTTTTGGTGACCTTGACCCCATTTTCAAGGTCACAGCAGGCAAATCTGCTTTTTGAGTTTTAAAACGGTGTTGCCGCGATATCTCAAGAAGTAATCGCTGGATTGTCTTCATATTTGGAACTATGGTGTATATACAGACACCGCAGACACCAGTCGGTTTTGGTGACCTTGACCCCATTTTCAAGGTCACAGCAGGCAAATCTGCTTTTGGAGTTGGAAAACGGTGTTGCCTCGATATCTCAAGAACTAAACACTGGATTGTTTTCATATTTGGAACTATGGTGTATATACAGACTCCGCAGACACCAGTCGGTTTTGGTGACCTTGACCCCATTTTCAAGGTCACAGCAGGTAAATCTGCTTTTGGAGTTGGAAAACGGTGTTGCCGCGATATCTCAAGAAGTAATCGCTGGATTTTCTTCATATTTGGTACTATGGTGTATATACAGGCGGGGGACATTTCGTCACTTCTGTGACAAATACTTGTTTTAAAGGAGACGGAGCAAGTTGGTTGTTTAATGTTAAGTGACTTATTTACCAGAGCTATCGACTTTACTGTATGTACACGGTCTAAGTCTGATCATCTTCCAATTTGTATGTCATTGCAAGTACATACTGACCATAGTACAACGGAGAACGGGGCAGAAAACGAGGATAATAATACATTGTCAGGTACACCAAGATATGTTTGGAAGGACGCTGTTATTGAAACTTTTCGTCAGTCTGTAGCTGATATGTTATCACCTTATGTATTTGACAGTAACAGAGACCAGGCTCCACTGAAAATAGAGTCTGCGATAGAAACTTTAGTTGATGTATTTCACATTTGTGAGTCTAGAGAAGAAGTATATTCATGTTTACCGGACTAAGGATAGTAAGAATTGGTACGATGATGAGTGTATGGAATTAAAAAGACAAAAGTTTAATAAACTCGATTTATTCAGAATATCGGGAAATAAGGAACTTTTAAAGGCATAGTTTGTAATTAAGAATAAATATAGAGAACTGTGTAGACAAAAGAGATTGGAGCATAAGGAAGTTGGTATAAATGATTTGGTCAATGATAGCAAGAATGGTACATCCTTTTTGAGACGTGTCAACAATATTATTTCTTCACCTTCTGTATTCACCAGGTATTAGCAATATGCAGTGGACCGAATATTTCCAGCATGTGTTTCATTTAACTGATATACCTGTGGATGGGGACAATCTGGACGAGGCAGAAAATGTTTATGAACAGCCATGATATTATTTGAGTGCAGTTACTGTAATGATGATGTTATGAATAATCTCCTAAATGCTGATATAACTGAAGAAAAAGTATCATCAGCTATACATTACTTGAAACTGGGTAAATCGGAATTCTTCCTGAAATGGTGAAATGTTGCAGAACTTCAATCATGCCATACTTAACTATAGTTTTTAATAAGATTATGCATAGCGCTGTATTCCCTTACGAGTGGGCAAATGGTATAGCATTTCTTCTGCATAAGTATGAAATCGATAATATAAATAATTTCAATAATTATAGAGGAATAACGCTGATCGATGTATTGGGAAAGTTGAAGACAACAGTTTTAAATGAAGGACTCAAGAATTTTGCGGAAGTTTATGACACAATTCCTGAAGGTCAGGTCGTTTTCGAAGCGGATACAGTACAATTGATAATATATTTACATTACAGTGTGAAGCACAAAAATATCTCTCTAAACGTCGTGGAAGATTTTGTTTGTTTGATGATCTCCGAAAAGCGTTCGATTCGAACAACCGAAAGCTATTCAATAATAATAATGGTATTCAATAATGAAACAATGGAACACACGGTCGATTATTGGTGGTTTTGAAGGATCTATACTCAGTGTCCTGTCAGGACATCAAATAACTCTCTTTCAGATTATTTCGAATCACTGAGCGGCGTTCGACAGGGCTGTGTGTTGAGTCCGTTTCTGTTCACGATGTTTATCCTTGAATTACAGTCTATGGTAGAAAGTAGTGATTTGCGAGGAATGTTTTTTGGAGAGATGTTCATAGACACATTACTTTTACGATGCATTGTGTATATTTGATGACACTGTAAAAGGTCTGCAAAGGAAACTTGAGATATTCTCCAATTTTGGTAAAATGTGGGGACTTGAAATTAACACGTCTAAAACCGAAATTTTGGTTTTCAGAAGAGGTAGCACTTTAAGGTATAATGAACGATGGTTTTTGAATGATAAACATATCAATGTTAGTACCTACTATAGTTATCTGGGTGTTCTGTTTTTAAATAGATTGTCTTGGACGAAATGCGCTGATACCCTCAAGATTAAAGCTTATAAGGCTTTGTTCGCTATTAAAAAATTGCCGTTTCACTTTGAAAATATGCCGGTTAACATTTAATTTAAATAATTGTTTGATATTAAGATAAAGCCCATTCATCTTTATGGTGCGGAGATCTGGGCTTGCCAAGCTAGCCAAATTGTCGAAACTGTTCCTACTATTTTTTTGTAAATTTGTTTTAGGAGTTGGTAAATGTGTATCAAGCACAGCAGTATTGGCTGAATGTCGAAGATGTGGTTTGCATGTGCCTTATCTTATGAAGTGTGTTAAATACTGCTGTAAACCTACTTGGGCGACGATCGCCTCCGTGGTCTTGTGGTAGAGCGTCCGCCCGGAGAGCGGAAGGTCCAGGGTTCGATCCCGGGCCGCGTCATACAAAAAGACGTTAAAAGATTGTACTTGTTGTTACCCTGTCTGGCGCTCGGCATGAAGGGGCTAAAACAAGGACTGGTCGGCTCGGAGTCAGTATACTGTGTCTGAGTGGGGTATTCATGTTAAACTGCGGCATGGTATCTCAGTGAGCTAGCACTATAAATCGGCATCAGTCCGGACTAGTACAAGCAGCCACACATACACATGCATGCACGTCGCTATATAAGTGCAATAATCTTGGACGCGACGTTAAACCCAATTTCACCTCACCTCACCTACTTGGGCAACACATGTTAAAAATTTACTCGACATTAATGGATTTGGTTATGTGTGGCACGAGCAGAATATTGATGATGTTAATTGTTTCTTGCAACAGTTTAGACAGCGTTTAATGGATTGTAACAAACAGAGTATCCAGATGAAAATTTATGAATCTTGTAAATTAAGGTATTATTCACAAGTTAAGATATTATTGGATATGGAATATTAAGTTACAGCTTTCATAGAGACCATAGACGTATGTTGTGCCTGTTAAGATTAAGTGAATTGCCTATATGGAGTAATCTGGGACAGATGAGAGGATATTGTTTATTCACAACGCTTTAGTCGGCTTTGTAACAATGGCTCTAATGAGGACGAAGCCCATTTTGTTTTTGTCTGCGGGTTTTATGCATCATTAAGACAAAAGTATATTCCTGTAAGATTTTATAACAATCCATGTAGTAATACCTTCTTTAGCAATCTCTTAAATAGCCAAAATCACTGTATATCAGACATGTGAAGGAAGATATATTATTATGTTCAAAGACCTAATATTGTACCCAAAGTATTTTTTTCAATGTAAATTGCCTCAATTATGTGTTACTATATATAACTGAAATTACATGGGCCTATGGCCTCCCATACATGAATAAAACATATATATGGACAGGTCATGTTTCGACAGTATTGTGATTGAGTCAAAATGTGAACTACAACATGGATCTGGAAAGTTGTATAATTGTTTATTAATGACCTCTGCTGTCCGAAAATATTCATAAAGACAATCCAAATCCTTAAACTATGTATGTGTTATTGTTATGTGACCGGATGACATCCACTGCACGTCTTCTCATTCCTCCACATTCGTCACAACTCGCCCCTTTCCGTTACCTGCAAGAAGACTCATCCCCCTATCGATGAATGTTATGTGCGAAAATACGACAAACCAATCAGAATGCCCGTATGATTTCAAGTTATACATCAAAGAATCCCTCAGAAAGTATTTTTGATTTTACATATGTCTTGCATCTAAAAATATACCCAAGACACAGTTAAATGTGTTCAATCATACTGTATAATTCCGCATGTCCAGATGTGCTTTAAATTGCATCTGAAATATGTATAATACATGGGGAAATATGTATTAACCATTACGCAAAGAGTTGACAATTGTTTTAGGTATGCCTGTTCGCGCTAAGACGGAACCCGGTCGCAAAAATGGTCGTGAGAGGGGCACGAGTCGCCATTCGGCTTGTCCCGGAATAACACGAGTTGGTCACGAATGATTGCTCCAGTGAGTTTCACTCGACTCGGCTTTTGGCAGATATATCTTTTGGATATGAAAAGAGTTTTGAGCCTTTTATTTTTAATATTCTGGCGTGGGTAAGAGATAATTATTGCTGCCACTCCCGATGCAGTGCAGCCGCTAAACCTGCCAGATTCAGCACTGATGGATCCACTGCCTGCAGCGAGAGTCCAAGAATGTTCTATTGTTTGTTTGTTTGTTTGTTGCGTAACGCCGCACTCAGCAATATTCCAGCTATATGACGGCGGTCTGTGAATAATCGAATCTGGACCAGACAATCAAGTGATTGATATCATGAGCATCAATCCACGCAATGGCGATACGATGACATGCATCAACCAAGTCAGCGAGCCTGACCACCCGATCCCGTAAGTCGCCTCTTACGACAAGCATAGTCGCTTTTTACGGCAAGCATGGGTTGCTGAAGACCTATTCTACCCCGGATCTTCACGGGTCTGTTCCAACTGATACATCTGCACTCGTGACAGGGCAAGGCAAAGTGTCGATAGCGTTGGTTTTGTAGAAATGCTGTCATCCCTGGAGTGACACCCTGTTAGACACATATGGTCGATACAACACGGGATGCTTAATACATTTCCATGTGTATATGTGAAGCAGGTGGTGATGTAAATGGATTCATGTAACATTAATTTGTAAATATATATGGTAATCATTATACATGTGCAAATGTTTAAATGCTTTCGTATTAATATATATTTATGTTATATCATACTAACTAAAAGCATGAATACATCAGAGCGAGTGAATTCTGTTTAACGTGACAGTCCGCATCATCACTATACATTGTATAACAGCGCTGCACGGACCCGACAAACCGGTGAACAGTGAGTAAACCGTTTAGATTTCGGGTTAGAAGAAATTTCCTGCATCCTATGCTGGGCGACCCAATGGATCGGGTAATCAAGCTCGGTGACTTGGAAGATTGCGTGTACCCTGTGGGCGTGAAATTCCTCAAAATAACAATTACGGGATCGTCAGGTCCAGATTCGATTATTAATGCATATTTGCTATTGGACAAAAGGTGGCATTATCACCAGGGAAGCGCTTAGAATCCTCCCTGCATGCATAGACTTACAATGTCATCGAGATAAACAGTTTCCTTCCATGAGATGAGCTGCTTGCTCTGTCTTATAACATTCTAACGGAATAGCACAAGATCCAACTTTGATGAATTTCTTAACATGTCCAGCAATGCCTTGAATTTTCTGCCAGGAATCAGTAATAGGAAGACAACTGTTTCTCACTTCGCTCAGCAGCAACGAATCACGTCCAGGTTCACTTTCAGAATAGGGGAGGTCGGGTTGCTTAGTGGTTAAAGCGTTCGCTCCTCACCCCGAAGACCCGGGTTCGAATCCCGACATGGGTACAATGTGTGAAGCCCATTTCTGGTGTCCCCCGCCGTGATATTGCTGGAATATTGCTAAAAGCGGCGTAAAACCATACTCACTCACTCACTCACTCACTTTCAGAATAAATCTGGATAATGTGTTGTTGTATTGTTATTGTTGGTTTTTTTAGTAGATAAAGTATAAATTATGTTTCACCTCCTGGCTCTCCATCTACCATGGAGTGGAAGCATGAAGTTTAGCATGAAGAAGTATAACTGACCACATGCCTGTAGCATGTAGAAGCATAACTGACCACATGCCTGTAGCATGTAGAAGTATAACTGACCACATGCTTGTAGCATGTAGAAGTATAACTGACCACATGCTTGTAGCATGTAGAAGCATAACTGACCACATGCCTGTAGCATGTAGAAGTATAACTGACCACATGCTTGTAGCATGTAGAAGTATAACTGACCACATGCCTGTAGCATGTAGAAGCATAACTGACCACATGCTTGTAGCATGTAGAAGCATAACTGACCACATGCTTGTAGCATGTAGAAGTATAACTGACCACATGCTTGTAGCATGTAGAAGTATAACTGACCACATGCCTGTAGCATGTAGAAGTATAACTGACCACATGCTTGTAGCATGTAGAAGTATAACTGACCACATGCCTGTAGCATGTAGAAGTATAACTGACCACATGCCTGTAGCATGTAGAAGTATAACTGACCACATGCTTGTAGCATGTAGAAGTATAACTGACCACATGCCTGTAGCATATAGAAGCATAACTGACCACATGCTTGTAGCATGTAGAAGCATAACTGACCACATGCTTGTATGTCAGGTATATATACGTGGTCCGGGGATCACGGGTGGCCCAGGCGTCTAAGGCGCCACGATTCGCTGTGCAGAGTTGCGTCCCTTGTGCACGCCAGAAACCTATGATTGTGGGTTCGAATCCCGGTTCGCCCCGATTATGTTTCTAGGTTTGTCAGCACCATACCCGTGCTCATGGGTTTCACCGAAATGGTAAACGTCTGAGACTGCATCACATCGGGCTTTCCGTGTTAACATTATGCTAACACGCCGCGGTATAACTGTAATACTGTTAAACCCAACTCACTCACTCACTTTACGTGGTACGTGTGGATGATGGCCATGTACAGAGATACAGGTAAATGTGTTAACGTCTCAAATCGTTTGCCTAACTTATATCTGTCAGAGACACAAGTCACTATTTTGACCTTTAGCATGTATTGACGTTATGTTTATAATATTGCCATATTTCACAATTTATGTAATTTTTAATTACCCAATCCTTAACATGAACCGTTGTAATATATTTATAAAACTTAACGAACTTTTCTTTGTATTAATACATCTTTCTGTTTCACTGTAGCCCCTATCATAGCCTCAGTAATTTTCCGATGTGTTTTTCTCTGTCAGAAATGCAATGCTAAAGTAGATTGTCCATCTGTGCATTCGAATGTATGATTTCCTTTCTTGGGTAATAAACTCATTAAGTTAAGTCGCCAGGTGTTTAAACGATCAGTTGGTTTGTAGCTGACGTTCGTGATCTGTTGTTTTGTACATAATTATCTTGACAATCCAAAACGTATTTATTAATTCGATACGCCAAAATATATATTTTTATTCCATTAATTAATTGTATGCATCGTTTATTACTTTTAGGCATCGTTTATCAATAAGTGAATTAAATGCGTTTATTTAAAATACACATGAACCGTAAAAACGCCCCTTAGCAAATCCTTCCCTTGAGTTCATACGCCTGTTTCAGTCAAATTTGCACAAAGCTGCCTGTGCGACAACTGTATAATGTGTTAACGATTTGTCGTATCAACTCGCAAAACACATGATACGAACATTTGTCTCACTTGAGACAAGACAAAAATATCAAGGGTAAGTACACCACTCAATATTTGATTGGATTACTGATCTATATCTTGTTACTTACATTCATTGTACAAGTCTTATCATACATGACTTGAGTAGTAGATGTTTTGAATGGCCAAAGATCAGGATTTCTGTTACATTCAGTGGTATGAATGCGGTTGTGTGACACTTTGGGTCGCCAATCCTTCCAACACAATTTGAAGCAATACATGTGAGATTCACAAACTGAATGTGAGTGAGAAATTACACAGTTTAACATCAACCATCAATGGAATTAAGTAAGAGGAGTTCATATGGATGAACAACTTCTTTATTACAATTAGTGCGACGTTTCGGTGTAGATCCTTATCAAGCGAGTGATGGATAGGGCTAAACAACATAGGTATATATACACTTATTGATATCTAAGTTGTTACAGTGACTAGTTGATGGACACAGAGACGTGATTAAGCTAATTGGAAGCCAGTGGATGACTAATGAACACAGAGTATACAAGCAGAGTAAACAAGCAGACTGATGGAGATGATGGAAGCCACTGTATTAATTGGATGGACAAAGGGATTTAGCAATTAGGTGATGGTAAGCAGGCGGGATGTAATAGCCTTGGTCTCTGTTCATTGCTGGCTGGATCCTTTTGATGTAGATGGCTTCTAGGAGTTTCCTGATTTTGTAGTCTGATTGGTTGTTGGCCAGGATCTTGATGTTGTTCCACTGGATGTTGTGATCGGGGTGGGTTTGGGTGTGGTCGGAGATAGCTGATTTTGAGTCATTTTTTTGTACTGAGGTCTTGTGTTCTTTTATTCTAATAGGTACAATCGTAAAATAAACGTGTACATAGACCAAACTCTATCGGACCAATGTCCCCTAGAAAATGGTACTCCACAGGGCAGTATCCTCAGCCCCACCCTCTTCAATATAATGATAAACGATCTATTCGAGGGCCTATCCCCTAAAGTAAACACATCAAAATTCGCGGATGATAAAGCCATCTGGATCCGCACTAAAAGCATGGACATGGTCCAAAATTTACTCCAAAAATCTCTAAATAAAATACAACAATGGGCTGACAAATGGGGCTTCTCCCTTAACTCAGAAAAAAACAACAGGAATAGTATTCAAACATAAAAACATGAAACCCGCCTCCCCAATCCTCCAGCTAAACAATCAAACAATCAAATTTAAAAAACAAACCAAATTCTTAGGACTTATTTTCGATGAACATCTCACCTGGGATGCTCACATCCAAAACCTATCAACTAAATGCAGTAAAGACCTAAACACCCTAAGATGCCTTACTGGCTCTAACTGGGGAGCATCCAAAGATACCCTCCTCTCTCTCTACATATCACTAATTAGATCAAAACTAGACTACGGCTGCGCCATATACAACACCCTAAACAACTCTCTATCTAAAAAACTTCACTCAATACAATATCAGGCTCTCAAACTAATTACACGCACCCAACATGGCACCTCCTACACCTCACTTCAGGCCTTAACAGGAGAAAGTCTACGCAGGGAACAGCTAAGCTTAAATTTCTGGGCCGCGTCCCAATCAAACCCTCTCATCCAAAACTTAATAAACCAAAACATCAGCCCCAAAAATCAAGCTCTAGCTCGTAAACACCCCTTACTTACCCCAATATCCCAAAGAATAACAAACTACCTCAATGAACACCAAATTAAAAATCTTAAACAAAACTGCAAACAATCAAATATCTTCACCCCTAAACTTAAAATACCCAAAATAGACACAACGCTAGCTAGCCAAATAAATAAACAAACCGACCCAAACATAGCTAAAACTACCACACTTGCATACATACACGAAAATTGGCCAAATTGGTGTCACATTTACACGGACGGATCCTCAGATCCGACCTCCAAACACACAGGTTTCGGAGTCCATACCACACAACCAACTAAAACCACACAATCCTTCCGACTCCCAAACAACCAATCAATATTCACGGCAGAACTAATGGGCATGGCCTCAGCCCTCCATAATCAAGAATCCAAAAAACACAAAAAAATCCTAATACTTACCGACTCCCTAAGTGGACTGCAAGCCCTCCAAAACAAAAATACCAAAAAACGACCTAAATTAATAAATCAAATACTTAAAAGCTCCAACGACCTAACTAAGGCAGGCAAACAAATAACCTTCTTGTGGATACCCGCCCACGTAGGAATATACGGTAATGAAAACGCCGATAAAGCAGCTAAACTATCCCTCAAAATCCCAGAAATAAGCTTAAACTTACCCATCTCAAAATAAGAAATTAAAAGTGTAAACAAGCAAAAAATCACAAAAAATGGCATAACCTATATCTAAACTCAAATAGCCAAATCAAAAAAGTGCTCAGCAAACCACTAACCAAACCAAAAATTCTCCATCCATCCCAAAAAATCGACAGAGTAATCACTAAACTCCAAACAGGACACACCAACCTAAATAACCACCTAAAAAATTTTAAAAAACACACTACAGGTAACTGCCCACACTGTAAACAACCAGAAACCCCAGAACACGCACTCATCCACTGCACACACTACCTAACACATCG